TGGCTGGATGGCTTTACCAGACGTCTGGAAGCATCACAAGCAATGGCAGTGTCCTGGTGCTGCTCCGTGAGAGGCTCACTGGTACCATCTTGTGTCCTGTGGGGCAGGGAGGAAGCAGAGTGAGTCATGTTAATTGTGGTGAAGCCTCACGAACTGGGCTGAACTTTCAGGGCTGCAGGTCTGAAATTTGAATTACTTCTCAGGACTGCAGATGTCTTTGGCTCACTACATTAGATATGTGTATAAATTATGTCATGAAAGGCTGTAGTTATTCATTCTGGAGCTCCTAAGATGCTTTGATGTGCTTGGATTAGGTGGTGAAGAAACCCTAGGTGAGCTGGCAGTATCCCACGGAGGACAGATACATGCATATAGTATGAATATAAATTCTCTTTGAGGCCCTTACAGAGAATCAGGGTTTCCATACAGATCTGACAAACTATTTTGGGTTTCTGTAGGAGGATCTGAAAAGTGGAGTGTACAGCAGAAAAAGACTGTGTGTGGAGTGTCGTTTTGAAACTTGCAGGGAAAAATCTGTATGTGCTTTTATGAAGAATGAATAAAGTACCATTTTGTACCTGGTGGAAACAGTCAGAGAAAGGTCGTGGTACTGAGCATGGCATTTGTCGTGGCCTTGTTTGAAGGTAGCAATAAATGAATGGGACTTGAATGCCAATGACTTGTCCTGGGTCTGAGGAGACTGTAATGGAGTCCAGGTCCATGGCATGCCCTGCTCTCTGTGAATTGTGCTTTTCTTACATCTATACATTGCTCATATGCGAGACATGTATAGTTATAATACAGATAAATTAAAATTTACTTATTTATTTATTTATAGCAACAGGCTTATGCAAGTGCTGGACATTGAAGGATTGTGTGTGAAGGAGCACTAGTTAATGTGTTTATTCTCTTCTAGATAACAACAGTAACAAAGCCACCATGACTTTTATTAGGCCATGTTAATTTTCTTTCTGTTCTCAGAGCTATAGAGTTTTAGTGGTGTTTGTTGTTCTCTGTGTTGTTCTATTGTTTTGGTTTTTTTTTTTTTTCCTTGTTTCTTTTAATTCTTTTTCTTGCAATGATTTCTGCCTTAGCTTCAAAAAGAGAAATTCATCTTTTGTAATGACAATTAAACACAGTTTGAAAGATCATAGCCTGGATGTAATAGCCAGATTCTTGGAATTAATTAACTGAGAAATGAAGTTAATAATTCAAAACAAATAGCTGTCTTGAGAAACAGACCCTCCAGCATTCTTAATATTTTCACTGGGCAGATCATATTGTTGTCATAATTGTTTATAGAAGAGCAAATAGCACTGGTTTCAGCTGAGGCTTTCTTTTAGAGTAAGCTTTTGTCGTACAGAGCACCAAAGAAAGGTGAATGTATTACATTTTTTAATGTGTTTCTTATTGATGGGTGTTTTGGCCCTGTTTTTTGACCTGTCCTCTTGAGTTTAGAGGGTTGGTTTACTTGTCAAAACATACTTGTAACTGTGTATTCAACATCATCTTGAACTTCTTGAGGGCAGAGTGATGCTGGTGTAGGAGTTTAGTCCTAGACCAGCATCTGGAGGAAGCTCTAGCCTAAGTCTAGATCAGTTCTGTCCTGATACGTAGCGAGACTCCTTGTGTCAGAGAAGGACAGATCTCAGCTGTGGTCTTCATCCTGGATTTTTAGTGGTCTCTTAGAAGGAGTGTGTCAAAGATGAGGAAGAAGACCTTTAGTTTTGCAGTTTTGTAGAAAGCCACATGTACAGTAGAGCTCTGATGTACATACAGTATTTCTGAGAAGCTGTGATAGAGAAACATTATGTACAACTTGAGTTTTCCAAGTGCTGGAGCCATCTTCGCCGGAAGCTTTGATTTATTGTAATCCATAAATAGCAGACATGTATTTACGGCCCCTCCTTTGTCACTTTAGAGGGGGATCGCTTAGAACAATTAGGACACTGGAAAGCACCATCTCCACTGGAGTACTCTATGTATGTAAAATATTAAAATTAACATGAAAACGAAAAAATAGAAGGCAAAAATAGAACTGCTACTGTGGCTGGTCAGAGACATGAAGCAGAACAGTGGTGGGTAAGGATTAAAATTTGGTTCACTGGCAATTCCTTTCAATATTAGAGTCACGGACCACGTGTTTTTCTTAAAATAGTTTTGATATTTACAGTTATTCTTTGAGATATCTTGGTTTTATCCCAATCTATACATTGTGCAGAGTCTCTATAGCTTTTATTGAGCAATAATTCTTTGTGATTAGCTCATTAAGTAAAGCACTATGCTTTGAATGGTATAGAGATATATACTTACACTCTTTGAAAAAGGTGCTTGAATTTCATATACTGCTGCTTCAAATTTTGTCAATTCTTTCTGTGGACACTTAGCCTCTAAAGGGTTTATTTCCTAGTTCTTTGGGGAAGGCAGAAGATGGTGAGAAAATATTTCAAAGACCCTTCACTGAAAATTGGTAGGGCTATTTGTAGAGTTAACAAATAGTGCTCAGCTGTTGCTCAGCACTATCTAGGGATGTGGAATTGGAAGCAGGGGAGAAAATTACACACGACAGGGGAAAAAAGGTCAAAATTTAAACTTTGAGTAACTAAACATATAACAAGCTACAGCAAGATCCTGATATTTATAGTATGACAGTTCCATTGTAATCCTGGCAGAGATAAAAAAAGGACAGTTGCATGTTAGCTGTGTCATTTTACATTGCATGTCAGGGGCCGTTCATGTGCTGTGAGAATTAGTAGGGAGGTGGGGTGGGCAATGAGTGGCAAAAGGTGCCAAGCACTCTAAGCTTGCACAGAACAAACTCCAAAATAATGTTTCTTCCTCCTACCAGCTTAAACCTAAAAGGACCCAGCATTTAGCTGGGATATGTTATTTATTTTTAAGAGGAGTTCTGTGCCTTGCCCCAACTCTCTCTGGGCTGATTCCTGAACTGCTTGAAATCATTTAGGGCATGTACAGTGAGAGAGATCCCAAATGAAAAACACTAAATGAGTATGTGTTAGCAGTGGAAAGAGACAGCATGCAAGGGTATTTTTGCCAGTATATACATCCACAAATCATGCTTTTAAAAGCACTTATTTAATGACTAGATATTTAAAAATTGTGTGGTTTTTTTTCCTCTCATCACTTGCAGATTTTTACATGCTTTTTACCTAATAGAAAGTCTTGACAACTTAACTTAATTCTTTGGGGATATGTTTATGCTTATCTAAGCATGAATTCTGAGTTGTAGTAGTGAAAGAGCTAGATGTGTAATGAGTAGTTACTTAAGAACGGGATGCTGCAGGTACCAACATCTAAGGTTGCAGAAAATTAACCAGGGGGACAACATGAGCTTAGCACCAATTTCAGGATATTTTTCATTGTTTCCTATTTTGAATGTTTGGAATTCTTGTATGAGAAATAAAATCAGCTTCCAAATGAAAATAGGAGAAGGCAGAAATTACATTTTGAGACAAAATGTATTTGAGTCAGCATAGATTTGTCCAGAACAAAATGCCACCAAGTCAGTACTACCTTTCAGCTTAGCAAGATCACCCAAACACCTAAAAGCAACAGAAGAGAATCTTGACTGAACAACAGCCTTATTAATAGTAGAAAGTAAAGGCTAACTGCTTATTTGAAACAATAGTACAAACTAGATTGAGCTAGAAATTCAGGTAAATAAGATGTATTTAATTCTAATTTGGCATACATTTCCCCCTCTTTAAATTTGAAAACAAGATAGGCTACAAAGTATTTTAAAGATAAGTACAGGATTTTAGTTTTGTTGGGGGAAAAAGAATAATTGTTCTATAATGTCTGCAGGTGACTAATTATGTTGGGTTCCTGGAGGAACTGAATTACTCTTCTGCTTTGAAATTGGAAAGATAATAAAACCATTTAATGTTGTAAAACTTAAACTCCGAACAATATCTTTACCTACAATTGCTTCAGAGTTATAGAAACCTCAATCTAGACACCTAAGCACTATCACATAGTGATTTTTGTTTTGTGTTTTAAAAAGCAAGAAACCACAAACAAACAAAAAAAAATACCAAAGCACCTTTTCCACCTAATTACACTTGTGAAACATCCCTTTTGAGATGTAACAGAGACCACGATTTATTTCTCTGCCATTTGTTCCCTGCATTAATCTTCAGGTCTTTTAATAAAGGTGGGGAACAAAGGGTCAGGATGACTCAAAGAAATGGTAATAGGATACACAGAGCTCTTCACCTGTAGGTCATTAGACCAAGTCCAGGTGGGATGAATGTTGCCTCAAACCTTTTCCACCTCTTTATTACTCTATGTCTCTAAGGCATATAAGCTGAAGGATGTTTCTGCTTTCTAGTAAACTGGTGACCAGTGCTGCAAAAAGCTACTGCCCCTCTGATCCAGGTCAGTGGCAAGGGCAGGAGTATGGGACTTGCCTTCCATGTCTAGCTACTTTGACAAGTGACAGAAACACGCTGATGAGAGCAGCAGTGAAACTGGCTTTATTGCTGCCTCAACTGCAGTGTTTTTCTTCTTGATCTATAAAAGATGTTGGTTCAGCCCCCTCAGCTCAGTAGTAACATGGTGGAAGAGAGAAGAAATAAAAATAGAAGTGGGATGTGTCTAGATCCCAACTAATAGGGAAAAAAAAGTACAAAATTAAGTGTGATATCTCTAGCACTTGATTTCCTGAAATTCCCACAAACAGGCCTGTGACTAGGTGTAGCCTCTGAGAATATGGTGGTGAAATCAGTGTACATGCAAGTGTGTAATTTTCAAGATTTACTACCAAAAAAATTGAGCCTTGTAAAACCTGCTTTACAGGAATTAAATGAGCACAAGACTGTCTGACCTCCTGTAAACTCTGACTCAAATGAAATAATGCACATAACTTTCAGCTATGATATTTGGTTGTCTAATACTTGCTTTATAAATGGTTGGAAGTATGTGGTCTTTTGTTTATGTGTTCAAAGGGATTTTCATCTCTTTTTTTTTTTTTTTTTTAGGGGCCAAAAGTACACTCTATAGCTATCGAATAAAAGAATTCAAGAACAAAGATGGAACTAGAAAAAGGACTGTCCACATCAAGGTAAAACTGATAGTTTTGCATATTCTTATAACATGAATTTCATACTGTATCCTGCAAAAAACCCCCTTGTTCTGTTTTTCCAGCACTTTTTTCTTTTGGACATTGGTAATTGTATATTCAACTGCCCTTGGCTCATCATGGAGTAAATGCCATGTAGCTCCACTCTGTCCACTGAAGTAAGGTCTACCCCATTTTGATTTCTCTGTTACCATCTCTCATCTCTCACTAAAACTAGCATAGTAACACAAATGTAAACAATTCAGGCTTAGGGGTGGTGTACTTGTGTTTTATTTGTCTCTATCAGAAGAATACTTCAAATGAAACATTCTTCTGCATGTGTTAACAAAGAAACCAAAACAATCTTGGTATGTCTAAAACTCCAAGGAATTCAGAACTGAATGTGAATTTTATGTTAAAAGACCAGAAGCAGTTCTTTAAACTTTCTGATGCTTGTAAAATGATACAGTAATTGAATTACAAAAGCATTTGTAGGGTTTTTTCCCCTCCTTTAAATGATTATATTACATGTGCTTGACTGTGCCAAATCAAGGTCTATTTGGTGCAGTTTCCTGTCTCACAGGAGCTGAAGGTGGGTGCTTTGGGAAGAACAGAGGAAAAGGGCTGGCTTCTGATATTCCCCCTGAGCCACAAGCCAGGGACTTCCTGAGTCAGAGGGCAGTTTCTTTGTATATAACAGCTTTTAGTGCATTTTTCTTCCTTGATCTTGTCCAGTTTCTTTTTGAGACCATGTAAGCTTTTAATGCATCCTGTGATCCTGTGGCATGGTGCATTGCAATAAGACCACATGCTGTATGTGGAACCTGCAATAACCCCGAGCCATGAGCAGCTTCACCTGGTTCTTGTATTTGTTTTGGTTTTGGTTTGGGGGGTTGTTTGTTGGATTTTTGGTGGGTGTTTGTTGGATTTTTTTTCCTCCAGACTGAGGACTGAACTTTGCTCTTCTGATTCTGATTTTATCAGGTTTTAACAAAATTGAGCCACATCATTAAGCCTTTTTAAATTATTATTTTAAATGGGAGGCCTGGCAACAAGCAGCCCAAGGCCTGTGATCTAGGATTTCCCAAAGGACTTATTCAGTGGAAGGGTTGCATGTATCTATTTCTGCCTAAAGTCATGGCCCTATTGTTTTGAAAATGTCTTCCATGAAAAATTACAACCTTTTTTTAGATGCCTAAAAGTAACTGTAAGAGATTTTAGATAGAACAGGTTTCAGAAAATGCCTCTTGGGGTAGTTGGTCATTGTTTTGCTGGTATATCTGGTACCTGAGGTAAGGAATCTGTTTCTGACAAATGCATTTCTACTGCGGAATTATCTCTGGCCAGGGAAGGTTGAACAGCGATTCCACTGACTATAAAATAATTGGTAGATCCCTTATTACTGGTAACAATACCAAAGCTATCTATGTGTTTGGTTGTGTACTTCAGATAGTCTTCCCCACTGGGAAAAGCATTTTTACCTTGATAACTTCTAGTAACAGCCAGCAGCCCCCAAGGCACGTCCTGATGGTGGTCAGGCAGGATTAAATGAGATTTAAGCAGCGAGGACTTACTTGCCATCCCTCAGCTGCCAAGCCTGCTCCCTGCATCCTCGTCTCTGGCTTCCCTCAGGAGAAGGGAAGCAGCATTCAGACACACAATCTGGAAATCTTGGTCACACGTGGAGCTGGAGATACCCACTCACTGCAGATACCACCGGTACCTCCTGCAGCACGCACTCCCCTCACCAGCAAGGACCCTGGAGTGTGCCTGCCTGGAAGGAAGGAGGTGTTGGAGCCTGGGTTGAATTGTCCTTGCAGTGTCAAGGACTTGCCATCTGTTTAGTGTTTATTCTGCTAGTGGATTTTCAATCTCACTGTTAAGGTTGCTAATGATTGATTAATCCAGCTCAGTGTGGACAGAGCATACCAGGCAGTTATAAACTAATTGCAACAATTTCTCTGATGCTACCTTTCACAAAATGTACTGTCTGGGGCATAAATGAACAGCAGCGGCTCCATTTCTAGTCTTGACCCTGAGCTAATTAGGGCGTATCCTGCTCCCTTCCATCCACTGAGATGGAAAAAGAGAATTTAGAAGAGGTTTTTGAAGGAAAAGTTCTGCCTAGTGTGGCGTTTTTTGGTGGTTTCTTTTTGGTTTTTTCTCCCAGTATTTTTTCTGTTTTGTTTGGTTGATTTTTTTTTAAAAGGAAAACTTATTATGGGACCTTTTGTAAACTTACTGCTGTCTGTATCCATGAGGGGTTAATCAGACTTATGAGAGCCTGCATACTGGTTCTTGAGATGAATACATTGTGTTTGACAGTGGAGATGTGTATAAGACTGAATCTTCTTCTCAGATTGGCTTGGTTTTGGGTACTGTAATTTGTTGTGGGGTTGGAGGTTTTTTGTTTGCTTGTTGTTATGTTGGGTTTTTGGGTTTTTGTTTGTTTGGGTTTGTTTGGTTGGTTTTTTTGTTTTGTTTTGGTTTTGTTTTTAGTTTTTTGGGTTTTTTTCAAGGAGAAAAAGGGGCAGGGGTGATCAGATACGTTATGCCTTTACAGTCTGTCACGTTCCTTAGTACAATGTACAGCTGATTGCAAACCAGCAATGCATGCTAATGTAGAGGTGGCAGAACCCTTTATATGTTCCTGCTATATCTTGCTGTTACACACGTAGATTGCGCATCTTTATCAGAACTGATCATTTCCAACACACATGGACTTGTTCAGATTGTGCAGAGGCAACCTTCAGTAGTGCACTGACCATAATAATGGCCATGGTTTCTTATTAGAGTCCATCCCTAATGATCAACATTAAAGTCCCCTGCATCCTGGCCATAAAAAAAAAAAAAAAAAAAAAAAAAAAAAAATTAAGAGATCAGTAGCTAGGGAACTGGGAATGGTGTGGAGGCAAGATTTTGCAGTTCTGTCATCAGCAAATTTGACTAGAGAAATTCTTAGCAAATAGAAGTCAATTTGCTCTTACAACTGTATGCATCCATTTATCCAAACCACTTGGTGCTTGCTCCATGAACATCTGGAAGGAAAATGAGGGTGGATGTGGGGAAGAACGCTTTCAAAAGAAACAATCAACGCTAGAACAGAAATCAGAGCTTTTGCATTTAAAGCAGTTCTCTGAAACTGTAGACTAATGTGATTCTAGGCTGCTCAGATTCTAGTGTTAACATGTCTCTTTAGGTTTTGATGACAGTTAACATAAATATTAATGAAAATTTCATTAAAACTTGATTTCATACAATAGTGGATTATTCTTTTTATTCGTTCCCTTGTGCTGTCATTCCCTGTTCAACAGATGCATCATGCAAAACTGCCATGTATGACAACCACTTTATTACATGCACCGAAAAACAAAACATTTTTCAGATTACAGGCATTTGCACAGAGTGAGATTAAGGTGAACTCACGTTTGAAGAAATGACTATTGATTATCCTGCAGAACAGTGTAAGAGTGCAACAGGAGAAACTGAAGGACAAAGCTGAAGGACAGCTAGTATGAAAGGTGAACAGAAGATTACTGTATTTCTAGTTAAAAAATTCTTCCTTTTGTTCCTTCTGCTTTTAGTATTTATTGCTCTATGTTACTTTTCTTCAACCATATATGTCATGGCAAAAAGTAAAATTAATTTCCAGCTACGTGTTTAATATTAGGTTTACAGCGTAGGTTTTATGTTATGTATCTTGTTTGTGTTTATGTAGCACTTGTTGATGGGCAAACTAGTATTCTTCACTTTCTTTAATAGCTTTACTGTAAATGAGTCCTTTACAGAAAATACATAAATACTGTGATTCCCAGCATTATGATGTCACAGCACCTATAAATACTCAAAGTACAGAAATGCATCCTTCTAAATGGAGAGTTTATAGTACTCTTGTGGATACCTTCCAGCCCGAGGATGAACAGCTCATAATTCTTTTTTGACAGAATAAATAGGAAATCCATGAAATCCAAATCAAGTTCTGTAGAAAGACCCAGGCACCCAGATCCATATGCAATACTTCGCCTTGTACATGTCTGAAATGCTAGCAGACTTAATTGTTATGCCCTGGGGAATCTTCAAAACTACTGTTGGCAGATACAAGTGATGTTAACAAGACAAATATGTCTCAGTATATTTACCAGGTGATTACTGCTGTTTCAAAAGCAGTAAATTATTGTATTTATTAATCTGTGATGCTTCCATGGGAACAAAAGGCAAGCTGTATTTTGAAATTTTTTCCTTTCCTTTTTTTTTTTTTTTTTCAGTTTGAGGGACGGTTAAGGATAGGGAAATGGGAAGAGAGAAGCAGGTTTGGATGATGCTATGGCAGCAGTCAAGTTGCATAGTTTACCATTAACTATGTTTCAACAGCAACATTTAAAATCACAAGGTTTTCATTCTGTGTATGCAAGTGATTTGTAACGCCATATACCCTATGTGATAGCATATGTAGTCTCCAAATGTTTCATCTAGGCATTCTGTTTTTTAAATCACTGCAATATGTTGAGCAAGCAAAGAACTTACCATATAACTTGATTTAGTGTGTGTTTGTTTATATTTACAAAATGTTAAATATCCTATCTCCTTTCTCTCATCTGCACTTCTTTTTCTCCCTGTTTCCTCTCCCCTCTTCCCCAAGATCTTATTAACCAACACTTAAACTATGTTCCTTTATGTTCTGACTTTCGTAGTATTTGGCTTAAGGTAACTAAATCAACCATACATATTCAACATAAAATCTTCAACCTAAAGCTCCTCATGAGAATGAAACAATATCTTTCCCCTTTCCCCTCATGCTTTTTAAGCCTAAGCTTCGTTTGAGGATGATCAGGCATAGCCCTGCATGGAGGTTATGTGGGTAATATGACCACTGATGTACTAATTCTGCTTTTTCTTACTTTCTCTCCCAACTGGAAAAAAAGCCCTAAAAGTTTGAATATAATTTTGAAAGCTTTTGCTGGTATTCAGGAATTTCTAC